TCTCTTTTCCCAGTAACTGATCAAATAGTGTTATGATGTACTACCTCTATAATTGAATACATTTGCCTAACCCAGATTCATGACTGTGATTCCAGTCCCTGCTATGAAGCACATGGTTTCCAAGTCCCTACAGTAGCTGCCTGTGTGACAGCTGAGAGGAGGGCCACCATTACATCAGACTCCCATCAAAGCCCACTTTAATGATGGCAAGCTGATTACAGCACCGGTGACAGATGCCGGGTGGTCAGCCAGTGATGCTAATCTTTGTTTATGCCATCCTGCAGGTCATAATCAAAGTGAGGAGAAAGATCCGTGAGAGGGTAAGGGGGGTTAGGAGGTGCGTGCGGAGTTTAAGAGATAGTCTCTCCTGATTGAAGGCGAGCGGTTGACTTTCAGTGGTTTACGTGCTGCTCTGACATAGACAGGCAAGCATGCTCATCTCTTCGCACAGCTGTTGTTATACTAGGAGCGAAGAGGCTTCACCACAGTGATTCATGTCCTGCCAAGGGAGAGGTTTTGCCTCCTGTTTGACCTCAGAGAGAGTCCCTCTACCCTGAAAGGGCCATATCTGGGCCATCTTGTCCACATGGGTCCAGTCCAGCTGACAGGATGGCATTCTGCTCTGATCTAATTTCCATTCATAGAAAGACTTATTAGGGCACTCGCATAGCTAACATATAGTAATTAGTGGACAAAGGCACATTTGAGCTTACTGTCAAGCAAGGGTGAAGATTCAGAAGGTGAGGTGTGGCTGAAATAAGAAAATGCTCCAAACCCTTATTGAGAATTCTTGGATTAGTTTGAAAATAAAAGATATCCTCATACAATGGTCTGTATGATATCATGGTTTGGGTTACGGAAGCAGTGGTATTTAAGTATGGAAGTTAGGTAGACAACAATGACTTCTACTTCCTGGCGTCCTATGTTGTTGGACCCATCCATCCCCTCCTCGTTACTATGTCGCCCTTTATAATACGACACCTGTCCTGGCTCACAATTATGTGTGTTGTTTGTTGGGTTTATATTTGAATAAGTGCATTACTTTTAGAATTACAAACCGTGTATTAGATAATCTAGGCCAACATTGCAGTGTTAGAAACTGAATCATCCAAAAATGCTTTAAAATGGTTTTAATTTTGTGATGAACATTATAAGGCTGGCTAACTCAGACCTAGCAGAATATGCAGTGCTGTTGGTTTTAATATTGATACTCAGAAGTAGCTGAGGCCAATCTGCTCTGTTGACTCTGAACACTATAATTACCATGACTTGGACTGAAAGCTGACGTCTGATGAGCCAGAGGAAAAGAAAGCTCTCTGTTTAGTCGTCAAGAGACCGACATATTGTTCTTTCAATGTCTTGCAAGAGAAGAGACAGAAGTTATGCAACTGGCCTTCTCTCTTCAGCTCTCCATATTTTCAGCCCCTTCCCCCCTCATCCCCCTCTCTTTTGCTCTGCCTCTCTTTAGTGTAACCGCTCACATCTGGTTTTGAGTCAAGGCCAGGTTGGTTTCTTCTGGAATGGAGGGCTTTTATTTCTCAATGGCCCCACTCCCTCTCCAGTTTCATATTGCGGTGAAGAGTATGCAGTTTGTTTACGAACTGCAGTTCCTTTCTTTATATTGACTCTACTCAATCCCCATTTTCATCCTTGGGGAACCCCACAATCCTCCCAATAATTGCCAGTGAGAGCGGGAATGCCGGTCGGCTGGTGGTCCTCAAAGATTTCCTGTGGAGCCTTTTCAGTGTCAGCTCCAGGTGACTTTGTATTTCTAGAAATGTTGTAGAGTCTGGAGAAAGCCTGCTGTTAGCCGCTCAGTATTTGTCTCCAAAGACGCTCTCTTCATCACATAAAGAAAATAACTGAGACACAATAACTGCACAGATACACAGAATTAAATGTACAGTTTTAGAATGAACCCTGCTGTAAAAGTTGCATTTAAACTAGTTACAGGCTATTTTTAAGTATTTCCAAAAACAACATATCTTAAAATGATATGAGGAAGCATCCAGAGAGTATCCTGTGTTTGTAGCATATGTTTATACTTGGATATGCTTCCAGACGTCAGATCAAGTTGCCATAGTTCATACCCCGAGGCCAGAGGAGCCGTGTAAACAATCTTCACGTTGGCCTCCTCCTGTTTCTGAAGATGTGATTTTCAAAATCAGTTGTGCATCGTATGTTTTGAAGAATGGTCTAAAAGAAGAGTGTGCTTATATTTAGGGGGTGAGTTTGAAGAGGGGGATGTGAGAACAAAGATGTGCAGTGTTTTCCAGCGGGAGGATGGGTGGCAGGCAGAGAGAGAGAGAGACTGCTGGGGGATGTCTGATGTCACCTGGTAGGGAGCTATGAAAGCTTCCCCTGGTTACCCTATCCCACATAAAAGTCTGGCAGTAGGCTGAGGCTTTAGGGAAGCTTGGCAGAACTGCTGCATTAAACAGGAACAAACATCACACACCTCTCTGTCTGTCTCTTATGTCAAGCGTCTGGGTTCCTGTTTACATGGAACAGTGTCAGTGCATATTTTCACTGCAAGACAACGCAGATCTAAAACCTTATAATCTCCTTGTCATTCTTGTCGAAGCGTCCGCCCCACACATGCAGTCTCCCCCATACTTAATATCACACACTGTGTTTGGATGTGAATATGATTGGCTTCAGGTGGAAAACAAAGAACACTTTACTCTAAAATGCTAACACATTTGCCTCCAGAGCAGTTTGTGATCTGATAGTGAAGGAATGAGAGCAGCTCAGATGCCAGAAAGCAGTTAATTACACATGTGGTGGGCAGATTTAAGCCCGACACCGTGGGCGATGTGGATGGAGATGCCATGTGTTTAGACGTTAAACGGCAGACTGCGGTCAGACCTAGCCTGCTCTCTCATTAGCTCCCCCGATGGATGTAATGAGCACGAAGGTGGTGGTGGTGATGAGGGGGAGCCATGTGTTCGACACAAGCCCTGCTGGTCCTCTCCTTGTGCACGCAGCAAGACGTCTCTGGATATCAGAATTTTAATTAGAGAGACCAGATTCACTTTTGGCAGTTGGTTGATTGATTTGTTTCATTATATTTAACGTGGAAACCTGTCTTTTAATTTAGAGGTGCGCACCTTGCTCTGCACCCTCATGGGAACGAGGATAAGAAGAATCAATGGCTGTCTTTGATGTTCCTCTGCGCTGCAGAACAGTGTGTCTGTGTGAACTCCCTCTTCCCTACATACTGCCCTTCATTAGGGCCTGCGCTACAAAGAGGGGAGATAAAAGCAGCCAGCGTAGAAAGGAAACAACAACTTGGCTTCTGTAACCACAAAAGATGGTGTGTGTTTTTTTCGTAGTGATGCACATACACTCGACTAGTTTATAATTTGTGTGTTTTGTTATTAAAGACTGCAGCTTGTTTGGGGCCCAGGGAGCGGTACCAGTTGTCTCCACCTTTCCCAGAAGGCTTCCAGAGTCTTTAAAATCCAGCCTCCACCTCTCCCACTGAGCTCCCAGGGACTAGAGTAAGCAATAGATAGGCCCTATCTCCCATTTAACAAAACACATCCTCCTCTGCTTCAGCTCTTATCTGCTTCTCTCCTCTTCCATCTTTGTTCCTCTTATCTTGCCTTCCCTCCTTTTCCCCTTTGTGCCCTCTTCCCTCCACTCCTTTCTTTCTTCTTTCTCCCTTATTTCCTGCTCCTCTCCTGCTTCCTCGTCTCCTCTCCCCAAGGCTCGACTCCCATTCTTTTTGCTGTTTTTCTCTAAATGTCTCTGGTGGCCAATTTGCAGGGGGTGTCCTGGCCTTGACCCTGAGACTCCACCGGCTCCCCCCTTCAGCAGTGAAGGTCAGGGCCAGATTGCAGGCTGGAGGTATCATCTTCTGAAGTGAGGAATAATCAAGGGCTCTGCGATTGTTAAACAGAACCACAGGCCCTGGCGCTGTCATTACTCTGAGAAAGAGGGGAAAGGGAAAGGGGGGCTCGTTCACCTAAACGCATGCAGATGTTCAGACTCTCGCTTGAGCCTCGGCTCTGTTGAAGGTACATGGAGTTCTTTTGTTTTCTAGCATCTATCTGTTTTTTATTTGTCTCGTTCCACTGGGCTTCATTGATTCAATATGGTAGGGATTTTATTTCAAAGTGTGTGTGGAGCAGCTTAGAGGACTGAGATGACGTAAATAAGATGAATCATTTGTTGTTTAAATACTTGTGGTTTAGGGGCTGTCCTGCACTTCATTTTCATTGTTTCCACAATCCAGTTGTAATTAAAGAATGGCTGCGTGTGCGCGCATAGAGACATGGCTGCATTTGCCTCACTGTGCCTCTGCATTAGCACATGTGTGGGATGGTTATGAATACATTGGGGTTCTGTTTTTCCCCCGAAAAAAAAGTATTCACATATGACAGCAGAGCTTTTTTCCCCCTTCCAGCCTTTTGTCCTGCTTTTGTTTTATGGCTGTGGAATAGTGTATTAAATCAGTCCCATCCTATCCTATTTCCATCTGGCAATTGTTCTCCGTTCAAAATAAATACACACATGTTGTTGAGAGCTCATTGGAACGTTTGTTTTACACAAACCAACTTCTCAGTCCTGAGTCCAGTTTTCAATGAGAAATGCAACAAAACTTTGAGCATGTTCCATCAAATTCTCCTCGCCTGGTTCCATGTCAGGCAGGATGAGAATAAACAGATTGGCTCAGAGAGAGAGCTCTGACGATAAAGTGCCATCATGGGTTTTGTGATGGATGCGAGGGGTCCGAATGAAGGGCTTGGAGGACTCTTGAAAGCTTGGCTTTGGCTCCACTCGCCGTGTCCCAGACAGTGAAACACAATAAGCGTGCAGATGTTCAAAGTGTTTGGCCGCGCTGGAGCCTCCAGCCCTCTCCTCTCATCTGAGTAGGAAATGCTTTAGCTGGAACTGTTTGTTTTCTCTGTGTCTGTGGTCTGAACTGTAGATTCACTTACATCTCTGACCCCCCTCTCTCTTTCTCTCTCCCTTCATTTCTTTCCTTGTCCCAGGAGTTTCCAAATGGAAGTCTGAAGCAAAGACAATTCACAGATCAACACTGTCCCCTAGAGGGTAGGTTGAAAAGATTTTATTCTCTCTCTCACTGATAAGCTTTATGCTATGACATGAATATGTAATGCTACGTTTTATGATAAAAGAGCATATATGTGAAATAACTATTTATAACCCCTTTATAAAACAACACTAGAACTGGTGTACAGAGATTTGTATGATATCACTGTATGTTTTTAATTGGAAAATGTCCATTATTGAGATCATGAGATGAGTGTACAAAGTGTTACCAAAGTTCTGCATGGTTTTTGTGAGTGTAAAGTCAACGGGTCCTCCTGTGTCAACAGTGGTTCTTCCTCCAGAGAAGGCTGAGGGCTGTGAAAGCTACCTGCAGTACCTGCACTCAGAGGACGGGGTGCGGGAGATACTGAGAGATTCAAACAAAGCTCCGGGGAAGAAACGCATCAGTCTGGATGTAAGCAGCTTTTGGACCTGGCCACAATGCTATGTTGTCATTTGGATTAGTTTCCAATAACACAACAAGTCACACGTCACATGAAAATGCAACAAAGGCGCGTAACAGGGAGTGAGGAATCTAAATAACTAATTAATATTGTCCAATAGTTTTGTTGTGGGCTGAGAAACATGTAAAAAGAAAAAAGGTCAAGAGAACCGAGTGCAAAATGATTAATCTATAGGTTATTAAATAAATACATGGTGGGTATCCTCCTGAAGCTGTAGGCCTTCACCCTGTGCACAGAACATCTGTCTGCATGTTGACACTGCTCCAGACCATATCCTGATTGAATTTAGCGATCAATAAATTGAATAAATAGATTGTAATGTTTAGTCTTGCCTGTTTTAAATAACTGCTTAGATCTGCCCTTTGGGGATCACTCCTGGTTATGTGAGCCGAGGAGATATTATAGCACCATAAAGTTCTGCTTCTCTCCCTGGGGTCGCCTCCCTTGTAAACGCACACTGCCTTCACACAGTGTCAGCTCCCCAACATGCCTGCAGGCTAGTCCTATATTCCAGATGTTTATTTTTCCAATTATGGCCATGTTACTAGATACATCTGAATCAAAGTAACTGCCAACAAATTGTAACTGAGAATTGTGGATGTGCTCATTCTTTCCTAGAAATACAAGTAGAAATACAAGGTCATAGTGGTAGGGCCGACCGTACTGACTTTCTCTGTGCTCCCCCACAGAAGGTAAAAGCAGCAGAAAAGTGATATGTTTACATGTTGAAAACCATGTTTTTAAGTGCCCTACGCTCTTTTTGCCATAGGAAGGTAGTCTTTAAATGTACTTGATGAGGTACATGCTCATTGAAGCTAGGTGTGATTTGATCGTGAACAGATAGCTTGTAGGTTGGATAACATTGTTTCATAAATCCCTGTTTTTAGAGACGAGAAGATGCGGTGGCCTTGATGATTAAATTGAGAGTAGTTTGCAGCCCCCTGGTGTCATAAATGCTTATTGACATACTGTAGAAGAAACATTTATAAGCTTATTATTAACAGAAATATGTAGATTTAACCTTTCTAACTGTTTATTTGTGTTAAGTATGATCACGTATGTATCCACAGGACTTGGAGTGTGACGTTTCCGTGGAGGATGACAACCGCCAGGAGTGGATCTTCACACTTTATGACTTTGACAACAGTGGGAAAGTCACTAAGGATGTACGTGTTTGTAAGCTTTCATGACTTTACGTGCTGTGTCTTGTGTGCTCCTTGGTGTGCCATGTTTTCTTTTGGTAGTCTGTCCCTTTCACATGTTATTTTGTCAGAGATAATGCTAACAAATGTGTTTATCTATCACTATAGGACATGTCCAGTCTGATGCACACCATCTATGATGTGGTGGATGCCTCAGTGAATCACTCCTGCCATAATAAGAGCAAGACTCTGCGTGTCAAACTGACCGTCACTCCAGAACCTAGGTCCCACAGAAGAGAAACAGGAACAGGTGAATGAAAGCAAAAGCAGCATCATACCTCGGACATTATTTACTATCCCTATGTGCTTTGAGAAAACTCTATTCTTGTACACTTTTCAATCAATCAGTTTGGCAAGGTCTGCAACTTTAAGATTGTTCCACTGTAGACACTTCCTGGTTCTTAGTCTACCAATATTTCTGGACATGCCAAATATGTTATTAATTCAAATACGAACAAATAATTTGAATACCAAATGTCAATGCTTCTTACACTCAAAATGACATTTCTCTAAAGGCATGGGTCGTGAACATTGTAATGGAGCAGGTTGAATGTAAAAAAACGAAACGTTATTTTGTCGTAAACATTTCTACCTGTTTCATGTATTTTCCCTCTTCAGATCGCTGTCACCAGGAAGAGGGGCGATCAGCTGACAAGCGGCTATCCTCCTATGTCAGGTCAGTACACGTCATGTATACTTTGCTTAGAGGCTGGCGGGTGTCTGTTGAAGTAATTGTAGTAGTTTCATTGTTAAAAAAAATATTTACAGTCCTCTAATCCTGAATAATTTGCTCATATTTAGCAGCAAAGGGCAAAGCAATGAGGCGCCGGCCACCGAGGGTCAGCATTACTGTGTGGATGAGAACACAGAGAGGAGGAATCACTACCTGGACCTGGCCGGCATAGAGAACTACACATCCAGATTTGAAGGTAGTTGTCTTTTTTAATATGATTAAAAGCTGTTTGGTTAAATGATTTAAAAATATTTGCTGCTGCAGGTGTAAAGTGTCTTTAAACCAATACTGTCTGAATAGTAACCACAAGGCCTTTTATTAAAGATGGTTTATAGAGATATTTGTATTAAGTCTTTAATACACTTATTCTTTGTATATAAATTACATTTATTTAAAAAAATGTTTAAATGTTATTTTGTTTTACTACTATTACTGTTATAATATCTTTTGATGCTATTTTATTCTTTTTAAAATAATTTATCACTTTGTTTTGTCCCTGTTTATTTTTTTACGGTGCATAAAATGTCTTATTTTTGGATGTCAGTCATCTGTATAACACTTTGAACATAGAAGTTTTATTAATTAATTCATATAATATCACAATGACAAGGTTAAAAGTTTACTATAATTAATCGGTGGGTGAACAGCAGCAGTGTTATAACTTTAACGACTAGTGCATAAAACCACTGACCCTGTGGCTCTTGCCTGGCTTTCAGGAACCACCCCTCCCCAGGAGACCCACGTTCGGACCTCCCAGAGCCAGAGCCGCTCACGCTCCCAGGAACCAGAACCCCAAGTTATCCACCATCGCCGCTCACAGGTCATCGGGGATAGCTACAACCCTGCGGAGTCTCGAAGCAAAGGCACACATTTTGTGAAATCTCCCAAAGGAACCTACAAGGGGGGGAATAACGGGGGCAGCGGTGGCAAATCCACTAAATGTCACGGCCACCACCCACCTGTGGAAAGGATGTTACACAGCGGCAACGCAGCAGCACACGGGGGGCAGGATGTGTACCACCTGCCACACCAAGGCCAATCCTCCGGCCACCACCAGCACCCTTTGCAATACAGTCACAGCAAACGTCTTAGGGCAAAAGCCCGAGAAGCCATGTCCCCATCCAAAGCCCCGCTGTCCCCTCAGTCCCACCCCCAGCAGCAGCCCCCCACACTGGAGAGAGAGCAGGTGTCGGGTCCACCTGGGAGCCCGGGGTTTGTGGTTCCCGTAGTCCAGCGTCACGAGCACCACCATCACCATGAACATCACCACCACCACCACTACCACCATTACCATCAGACATGACCGCGTTCAGCGTGCAGTGACTGAAACTGTTCAGGACCAACCACAAACCAACCACACCAGTCTGAAGGACTTAACGGTCATCCCACAGGAGTGTCTCACGCTCTGTCCAGGATCTTTTTACTATCCTTTTGCAAGCTAAACAGATATATGCTGAGATTAGATGTACTGGGGAATCTTGTAGTGCGATAGCTGATGATATTGGACCAGAAGGATATTTTTTCTGAAGTTATTGTGTTATAACAAAAGATGTGTGGCACAAATTTGAAGTTTTTGTAGATTTTGTGCTGGGACTGCTGCGACTGTACCGATGTTCGGTAAGGGCGCAGGTGACAGAAAGGAACAGATCACAGGACTTTTGACGAGACATCCTTTCCCTCCTGATGCTGTGGGTAGAAGTCCCTGGAAGCTATATGTCAGAGTAGGTGTGTCGTTCTGTGTGAGACCTTTCCAAAACATGGATCTCAGGTGTAAAGGTGCTGCTGCTCTCAAGCTATTCACAGAGGCTGCTTCCTCTCGGAGGCCTGACGTGGACTGAGGGGTTTCCTGTTAGGGGGGAGGGAAGTAAAAAATCACCACTGCTAGTTTTAATGCAAAGTATCTTGCTATATGTATAAAAAATCTATATATGTAAACACATTTTACTGTATAATTATTATACTGTATATGCATATTTCATCATGGATATAATTATGCATATATGTGTTTTGTCTTTTATATATTTTAATAAACGTTATATAGTTCATTTATATTATTTCAGCAACAGTTTGTTTATTTCTGATCATAATACACTCCTTATAATGGCGTGTCTGCTGCTGTTGTGCTGTGTGGATAGAAACAACACCTCAAAACCAATCAGTTTTATGTTTTTGGTAAAGACTTTCACATGAATAAAGAATGTATATGGTAATTCAAACCAAACTTTGCTACAAAAGTAGATACAAAAAAAATATTGTTTTGGTTTTCTGGCTATTTAACAGAATGGAAATATTTGGAATCAAGGCTGGAGTTTTTCAGATTATTAAATAAATTAAAACAGCCTGTGAGTGAGTTGTAGTGTTCGGTTAATCAGGTTAATTTACATACATTCATGCAATTGCTTTGTTTTCACTCTAACAAGGACATGAGGAACCAGCATGCACCAGGTCAGCAAAAGGTCAGCAGCAGGAACTGAAATGTAAAAAATTACTATCAGTGGGAACAGCAACTGTCTACTAGTAACACAAATGGTGTAATTGTCTGGCCACAAATATATCTATAAGAGTGTCTTGTTTTGCTTTCTGTTTGCACTTTCTTCTCCTTCCCTCTTATTATCTGAGAATACAGAGCACTGGCTATTTTAGAACATTGCACCTTAATGTGAACAGTCAGTCAGTTTAAAGTAATAACACAAAGGTGGTGACGCTTTAATAATTGGCTGTGCTGAATTTCCCTAAAGAGTTCATACCTGGTTCGGGCACCTAGTTAGGATGCCACCTGGGCGCCTCCCTAGGGAGGTGTTCCAGGCACGTCCAGCTGGGAAGAGACCAAGGGGTAGACCTAGGACCAGGTGGAGGGATTATATCTCTTCGCTGGCCTGGGAGCGCCTTGGGATCCCCCAGTCAGAGCTGGTTGATGTCGCCAGGGAAAAGAAAGTTTGGGGCTCTCTGCTGGAACTGCTACCCCCGCGACCCGACCACGGATAAGCGGGAGAAGATGGATGGATGGATGGAGTTCATACCTTAGACAAATAACAATGCCCCTGTGTGCATTGTTATTTTGTTATATTGTTATTTGCATACTAAGTAGAAAGAAGCCTAGGGAATAGTTTTATACCACATGGTAGTTCCTGCGATCTGCAGCATCTAGCCCCTTGGGTGACAATTAGGTTTTGGTAATTCGACTAAGCAGAAATGAATATGCAGGGACAATATAAACTGATATAAGTTTAAGAAATTAAACTTTAAGAAAGTGCCTCTAGAAGTTATCATTTAGGATCAGACTCTTAATATTGGCAGTTGCTTCAATTGGGCATATTATCAACAGCAAATATGTTGAATTGTCAAAGTAGGAAAAGCAGAAATGCATTGTTAACATGACAGTGAGCCATCAATAAAGAACCTTGAACCTTCATACACATTACCAGGATCCTGAAACTGTTCAATTAGAGTCAGCCACTAGGTGGCAACAAATGGCCACCAATGTGACATACTGTAGGAAGACAGCAGTGAAGGGTCCCTTGAGAAATTGTAAAATTCAGTAGGGTGACAGGCAATTCTTAGATCTGTTAAAAGTATAAAGTAAGTATAACAATTGAATACTTATTAAGGAGCCGAGCCAACATATGTATAGATGTATAGAATAGATACCGTTTCTTATCCACATGTAAACGAGTTGCTCCACCAGCAAAACACAGAAGCTTGTTATCTCCCTCAAATTCACCTATTCCATTGATTTTTGCATAAAGATTTATTTTATCTTGACCTTGGTAACAGCTGTTGACAAAAAACTATCACCTTAAGGTCTAGTTGGTTAGTTGTTCATGTGTCACATGATCTTCATCTGTGGACAAAAAGCAGAAGGATATTGTCAACTGCTGCCCAAGGGTCAATAGTTCACCCTGAACCTTAATATTAAACATATTTGAAGCTGTCGGAGTTGGGTGAGGTAAACACAATATTAAAACAGAGCTATGATCAGCTGTGAAAGCACAACATTGATTGAAATATAGCCTATGTTTTAACTCAATTGCTCAAGTGAGTATGTTGTCATTAAATTAGGCTTTAAATTACATGTCTGCTTCCTTCCTCTAATAGGTCTAGGAAACGTGCCTCTATGTTATTGCATCTATTTCAGGTATTTCCATCAGGGGGTCAAGTTGAGCTGTCACCTTTCTGAGCATGCCCTGTTCACGTGACCATAGATGTTACAGTCAGTAGGCTATACCTACCTGTCAAGTAAAACCCTTCTACAGCCACATGTATGCTGATTCTCAGCCATATTAGGCATGTGTTTTCCCGACGACCAGATTATTTAATGTATTATAATTTAAAGCTGTTGGCATAATAGTTTCTTTGTGTCGTTTCATATCAACGCGCTTTTGTTAATTGCCAGCCCAGCTCAGAGAAAGCAGCATTCCCTGCTCCGGTCGTCAGGGATTTAGGGAAGGTCTGAATCCGAGCCCCGACTGAGACAAACAATGGCAGCTATGAAAGGCGAGGGGAGGGTCGGCCTAATGCAAATATCCACTTTGTGCGCCTTGGAGAACCTGCACTAAACACTGACAACTAGCTACCAACTTCCACTCAAAGTGAGTTCGTGTTACGCCAACTGTTAAAGAGTTACGTTTTTCGGTATTTGTCTGTGCATTTTGCGTACATGTACATCTGCGGACATAGTTCTCACATGGAGGGGGTTTTGCTTCAGCAACAAGTGGCAAAGCGAAGTGGAGACTGTTTGAGGAGACAGGACGCTGCAGCATCTCTGAAATGTGCCAAGTGCACCTGCTGAGGGACGAAACCGAGAGGTAGGAAACATATGGCGTTCAAAAGTGCAGCATCACGATGTAGCATGTACTGAAACTTTAGCCTGCTTCATAAACTCTCTCTCCTCCACTTTCCTTCCGTCGTTTCAACTTTTTAAAAACCCTTTCTTTCACATTCCTCACCGCTTCTTTTCATTTCTGTTGACGTGTCTAGTGGAAAACTTTACTTCTAATATAGGCTACAACAGTTTTGTTCGACCCACCTTTTTTTCTGTGCAGCTTATTTAGTGCAGCTAAACCTGTCTCAGGAAAACGTGATTATCCTCAGACCATCGATACGCTGGCTTTCATTCAAGACATGCAAGGCTTTGCAACATAATAGATCAGTGGGAGCCTGTCTGCCTGACGTGGGGCTAACGGAGGGGAATCCCACTTGAATGTTGATATTGTTGGGTATAAAACAGACAGCATAGTACATGCAACATTTGAGATGGTCCCCCAAATGTTTAATTGTGTGCTAGAAAATGCTATACAATTCAGGTTTTTTTTTTTAGCACTAAGCCCTATTTTGCCTCATCTCTGCAGCATGCACTCTTTTGCCAGCGGTGAGCATAATGTGATGGAGTGAAATGCTACTGTAAAATCCCAGAATATCCCCCTGAGAAACATCAAAGCAGACCCAACATGAGGCCTTTATCTGAACAATTGCTCCATTCTACCCTGCACCCAAACCCTCCCTGACCACCCCCACAACCCCCTATTCCCAATTTCCACTTGATTAAGCCCTAAACTGAGCAGAGTTGAATCTGGAGGGAAAATTGTCAACTAATTCTGACTCTCAAGTTCTGACACAAGAGAAGGAAGACTGTTTTCTCAGTTTTTTTATTTGATCTGATTAAAAAAGTTGACAAGTTTTCCCTGGTGGCTTCAAACCCATATTGTGGGACTAAGTGTGAGAGACACCTCAAAGCAAACTAAATGCTTTCATATTATCAGTTTAATAATTCATCTCCTGTTGGATTATTCTATCCTTAGGATGCACAAATGTGTTGCTGTACACTGTGTAAAATACAACAAGAATATCAGTTCTGCATTAAAAGTTGTTAACTACTGATTAACAACAACATTGACATGTAAGCATAATGCTACAATATTTTAGCTGTGTTTCACACCAAAATCAGATTGCTAGCAACCAGAGCAGATGTTAATTATCAAGCAAACATAACAATGCATGGACAACATGTAACATGGTTGTTTATTTTGATGTGGACACTAGTTTTCAAGGATTGGTGTGAATGCCACCAATGCAGTTTATGACAACTCTTTACGATTCAGGCAAAGATCTGACAGCTTCTCTTTGAGTGGCGCTTTATTGCTGTTTAGATCCCTCCTCCCTGTGCCACTAAACTGCAAGCTCAGGTTTCTTACAGAATTTAACAGCAGGTTCAAATCCATTCCTCCCTACTGATTTTCTGTGTTTGTAAGCAATTATCTCTAATGTCGAGAGCACGCAGATCACTGTACACATTCTCTGTCTGGTGGTGAGGTTGCCAGGCGATGAGCTGCTGGACGCAGGCTGCTCTGGAGGGTCTTTTCTCCCCCAGGCTGCTCTCTCCATCTCATTCTGTCTTGCAACCCCCCACCTCTCCTCTTAGCTTGCGTCTCCTCTTCTGCATACTAATAGATAGACAAAAAGCTGATTACAAACCAGGACTGTCAAACTGATTATTAATATTCCTCGCTTTGTGGTCTTTTTTCAGGGGGCCAAAGTTTATGGTTCCTTCCTCTTTTGTTATTTGTTATATTTATGGTTCTCACTAAGTCACTGTGAAATACAGTAGACAGTAAGTCTACCAGCCTGCAGTTACTGTTAGCTGCATGTGGTCTACTTGTATTCAGCAAGAACATCTTTATGTTGTCCACCAGAGGAGGGCAGTGTCCAAGTAATGTTGGGAAGCAGTAAACTCAGTTGTGGAGTAGAACTTCTTCTAACTGTTTTTGCTGTGATGTGCTCTGATACAAATGTTTGTAAAACCTCTTTTGGAGCTACAAACTCTTTGCCCCAGTCCCAGCTATCAGTCAAAAGAGACTATCTCCACCTCATCTTTAAACAGGAAGTATTCATTACTCTGACAACAACTCACAAACAGATAGAGTGTTTAGTTTATATAAGAAGAGACGCTCTCAATTGCAAAAGACGACCAACAAACCAACAGTCAGTTTGATGCCACATCAGTGCAATAAGCAAAGGGGCATTTGTTTTGGGGTTATTTTGTCTTTTGGGAATAAGGATTATAACAGTTTGACAGCACAGGAAGAGCTCAGTGAATTTCTTCTCTGCACAAATCTGAATGTTACGCTTTATGAATGTGTAAAGCTCAGTTTGGATTTAGCTTTTGGTCCAATCTGTAGGCTAACTTTATCTAATGCAGATATATAAACATAGCTAAAGCAAAGTATAGAAACTCAAAATGTTGTCATTGAGGAGTTACTCAATGACAGAATCCCTCTTCCTGATAGGCCGTATCCTCCAGAGACAGGTACAATTAGAGCTATGGAAACAGGAAACACCTCGCCCTCCCTATCGTTTTCTCCCTCCTCTCTCCCCCCCTACACTCTCTCCCTCTACCTCCTCCTCTCTCTCTTCTCAGATGTGCATTTATTTATACAAATTATCAGGTGCAGAGACTATAATGAGTCCTGTGATGGTTATCAGTTTGTCTTACATTCTTGGGTTTACTGGAAATGAGGACATGGCTTGTGCCTGATTATTTTTTCTCCATAAAGCAATATGTTGCACATTCAGTTAGGACAATTTAGCAACATTGGACATTCTCGCTCTCATGTTCATGCCTGATAGAATAAAAACCCACGTATTCTCATCATAGCTTGTCCTTTTGTGTACCTACCTTCTGACAAAACATCTAATATAAGTGGCACCTTGAGAAAAATTGTGAATAAAAATGCTATGAAACAATAAAAACAACCACATCTCACATTTGAGAAACGTTTGTACCCAATAGAAGAAAGCAGACATGTGTATCTGTATTTGTTTCCCAAGTCATTAATATGACATTGACTGCAATGTCCCACTGTCTAAACCTTAATCCTCCCACACTCTTCAGCTTGACTTGCATCACAATGCCTCTGACTGCCAGTGATTAATTGGTGGTGGATATTTACACGCCCTTGTTTAACCCAATGTGAGGGATGCAGGAGAGGGGCCTCTAATTTCTGCTCCTTCCTCAAAAGATTAAAGACCCTGTGGAGACCAGGTGTACACTTCAGACCAATGATTAGACACCCATCGCGCTTCCCTTCATCTTAGACCAAATACACGTCTTGCTCGTGCACTCTGCCGCTGTGAAGGTGCACAGATTTACATTTAGAGCAGGAAAGCTTCTCCTGACGTCCAGTAAAAGGGGTGCATCAGCAGGTAACCCAACTCCAACCGTCTCTCTTTCTGCTCGGGCACGCAGAGTTCAGGAGAGTGAGAAAAGTCAGCGCTTTTTATTGATTCGGAGGAGCGGCTCCTACCTTTCCCCTTCCTGGTGAGGAATGCACACCTGGAGGTGTTTGCTGAGTGGCTCTAGTAATCCATATAACAATGCAGGTTGACATCTGGTGCCATCAGGTGCACTGGAGGCCGTTTGCTCTGACAGGCGCTGCATTGTCTCTGAAGATCAGTGTGACTGTGATGTTGTTGATCTCTGTAATCCTTTATGTTTATTACTGACAGCACAGTAGGGAGTCCACAGGGTTTAAGTGCTTTTTAAATTAGCAGAAAATGTGATGAAATTATGGAATTGTGTTTAAAAGAATAATAAACCTCTCAAGCATAACTTTTGTATGAATTAAAGAGCATTAATTGGACAGAAAGCACAGGTTAAGTGCAGTTGGCTAGACTTTGTTGACATGGCAGGCCAGCTCTCGGTTCCCCTCGCAGTGTACACACACGAGGGAGATGGGTGCAGATAAAACGACTAGGTCACGCCCCGCCGAGGAATTGGGATGCCTGGGGGGCTGGGAAACTTTCTGCCTGGCTAGCTTTAATATTGTGATTCTCCTCAGTCAACATAGCCGTGCGTTTGATGGAACATGTCAGGGTCCTCCAGGACTCGGGGGCTGGTCCTCTCTGGTTAGACAGCTGTCAGCCCGCCAGAGCTCAGAGAAGCAGAGACTCCTCCATGTGTTGTTCAAGGCTTCAAAGCAGGACAGCAGAGTGAGGTGAGTGCTGGATTTTAAAACAATCCCATGCTTTAGCTGGGATTCATTTGTGTCCTGTGTTGGGTTGTTGAGTCAAGTTGCGCCCAGTGATCTTTGGGGCATTGTTCTGTTTTGGGATGTGTTTTTTGTTTTTAAGCCTGCTTTCTTAAAGGGTGAAGTTGAGTAGGAGCCATTGTTAATTGCACTTAATCTAAGAGGAGAGCACTGTTAAGCTTTATTATTGCTACTAAGGGATGTTGGTCTGTGTTGACGGTTTAAGGTGTTGAAATTGTTTATATTCAAAAGGAAATGTAGAATCTATGAGAGTTACGCTAAACTACTAAAAAGGGGTATTTGTGGTTAGTTTGTAAACCCTGTAAACACATGGCTTGATTAAATAATACAAATGTAATATTACTAATGTCTTATGACCTGCTTATGGAAGAGTTTCTATTGTCTATCTTCAAAGAAATTAAATAAATGCAATACGATACAACAAAAACAAAATGGTTTATCTGACATAATAAGTGAGTCTACAGTATTTAGTGGATGTTTTAAATGCTTGTTGAGACAGATGTACAGGTCCGTGGTAACCAAGACAAGTCTATGCAAGGACAGTCAAATCTAACATCAGTGTGTTTAATAAAGGAGAAGATTTGTTTCATGACTTACCTTTTCTTCTGCCCTACAGCACGGATTAGATTAGATTCTGTGCGATTAGACTTTAAAGGGGAGGAAAGCTTGATTACTGTAGTTTTAGACCCAGGATTACTTATAAAAACATAAAAACCAAATGTTTTACAATATGAAGTTCCGTTTCGGTTTGTTCTGTTTGTCTACAAATACATTTTTGTGTCAGACTGAGCTTGTCCTCTCCTTGACTCCTTGATTATTTCCACTGTGGGAGCCTCTGCTGTAACTCGACCTGGCGTCTTCCAGACACCTGTGCTCGCGCGCTCAGAGAAAACACTGGCTTTTGTGTTGGAGTGAGACGTCCACACGGCAGGGGGGCTGAGGTACATTAGGCGGCTATGACAGGTGGCATGCTCTTCCTCTGCTGCCCCGCAGTAAGAGCATGAAAGTGGTGTTGGTGGAACAGCTGCACCACACAGCCATGGTGGTGGGGGAAAATCTCTTTCCTGACAAAGACATCCGAATGTCTCATACAGATTTGGGACTCAGAGTTTGCATGGCAATGGGGACAGGGGGTTAGGGTGCAATGTGGGTGCTTGTGTTTGTGTAGCTGTGTGCATTTGTGTAGCGAGGTAATCAATCTGAGTCCTGGAGCCCAACGTGTGCAACTCTGTCCGTCTGTGAGAGGAGGAACGGTTTTAGTCAAAGCCCCCTTTAACTGCTTTTACTCGCCTGTTGGGACTGAGAGGGGACAGAGGGGGTAGCAGCTCAGCCTGTGTGAGGCTGGATGGTGATGTGAGTTCCCATGGCTGTGTGAGGCGGTCAGAAGGAGAGCGATGACTCGTTCACTCTGTCCCCTGTCATCTGGTCTCAGCTTCTTTACAGTCTGAACTGTAAGTATAACATTTCTAAAAAAGTGCTGTACTTTTCAATTTGTATCCTACCGTTCCTCTGTTATTTATATGTTAAACAGTGACTTCTGCTATAAGAGACAGATATGGTAATTTTGTATTTCTCATGTACTCGGTTACTTTGGTAAGCATGAAAATACATATGTACTTTGGATATATATACGACATTGATAATAATTTCCAAATGATTTGATTTTTGATTTAAGTAATTTATAAGCAAAACTGCCAAAATGTGATGTTTCAGGTTATGAAATGTAAGAATATGCAGCCTTTTCTGTTCCTGCATTGTTTTAAATGAAATACTGTTGGTTATTACTGAAATACTGTTGGTTATTAAGTCAGACAAAACAAGAGGTTTGGAGATGTGGAGGGTTTTTTGTTTCGATAATCAGATTTGTCCACAATGAAAATACGTGTTAGTTGAAACCCTAGTTGTTATGGATTGCCTTGATGCTCAATTTAGATTGATCTAACAGACATTGTGCTACTGTTGGACATGTTTATTTAAATAACAGTAATGCTGTGGTGACAGACATCATATTTCGCCTTATCTATCACAGTTTCAAATATATTGCCAAAGTTTAAAAGAAAAGAAAGGGGTGAAGTTTAAAGTTTTCATGCCAACAGTTGTTGGGTGGCCTGTGTTGCACTGTGAGGTTGGTACGAAGTGAGGTAGGACCAAGGTGTCACATTCCACAGTTTGGTGTGTGTGTGTGTGTGTGTGTGTGTGTGTGTGTGTGTGTGTGTGTGTGTGGTGTGTGTGTGTGTGTGTGTGTGTGTGTGTGTGTGTGTGTGGTGTGTGTGTGTGTGTGTGTGTGTGTGGTGTGTGTGTGTGTGTGTGTGTGTGTGGTGTGTGTGTGTGTGTGTGTGTGTGTGTGTGTGTGTGTGTGTGTGTGTGTGTGTGTGTGTGTGTGTGTGTGTGTGTGGATTCATCCCAAATGACCACCCATCCATTAACAACAGTGCATGTTCTTGATCGAATCATTCCTACTTTTAGAAATAAAATACAAATGAATCCATTAAAGAGTAAAGTTTGGTTGTTTTTGTATTGGTCCAAAATGGACTTGAAATCTTTGAATCTTAATACAAACAACAACTACCCCCTGACATCTGTCTCTGATGTTTATCTCTCGAACTACCCTAACATATAGCGATGAAAAATGATGAAACTGGAGCTCTCATGTCATCTGACTAATTTGTTCCCCTGATTGCTTTATCAGATGGCATGCCCCTGGGACCGCCCTATCTGGCCTTTCAGATCACATAAATATTGTTTACCAGAAGCCTGCTTAAACGAGGCTATTTTAAACCTCATGCTTGCTTGTGGAAGATCAGCAGGAAAAGTTTAATTTGTGTAGTTGTACAAACATTTTAGTTTACATGGAGTCGATGTTTTACTGTCCACAACTTTACTGCGGTATTGAATCAGACCACACTGTCGATAAGAACGTATGAAGCTCACAAATGGATTTATTTTTGTCTTCAGCACTGTGGACTAAGTAGCACACATTTAAAACCTACATTCATGCTCCAGGATACATGTTGTTGACTGTTTGTGCAGCAGGGCTTACTCTGGACATAAATCACCGGGAATACAAACACAGCTGATGCCTCCTCTAGTGGCCACAGAGGAACCACATGTCCAAATCCTCAAACAGGACATAGGAAGAGGGGACAATATACAGTAAATAATAGTAACAGAAGTTGTTACTTATCACGTGACCATACATCTGTTCTGAGTAAGAAGCTTTGAATCTATACCCTTTGTTACCGAATATCCAAAATGTCAACGTGGTTAGAAACCTGAAATATTTTATTTATTTGAATCATCATGTTGTAATTTAATCATATATCATTTTATATCAACTAAGTGCAATTTGATGTTACTATTATCAACAAATGCAAACGTTTTTGTAAATAGATTTTCTGTAAGTATATTCTTTTAACTATAAGCATAGTGCGTATAGTATAAGCAATTGCTGATTTTGCAAATGTTCTCGCAAGGAATTAAATCCATTGTGTCTAAAACAGCCTTTAAAAAACAAACACATTGTGTACACCGAACATGGCAGTTTTATGGCTCATTTAATACATGTTTATTTAAATGAGCCATATATATATGATTTATAATCTGAACATTGTTCAATAAGCTTGAAAAAACACACACTTGTATACAATGTGAGATGTGAAGACTTTGGAGCTCAGTTTAGTTACTCATGGTTCCTTAGTGGCCATGAGAAACAAGGTTCCCAGTACGGCGCCTCGAGGGACCTCTGCTGCATGTCATTCCCCCTCACTTCCTGTCATCTCTCTACTGTCAGACTCAATTCATTGACTTTAGAATCTTAAAAATATAATTCCTCCCTATGTGGCCATGACGGACACGACTACTGCCTCACTCCTGCTGGCTCAGTTGGCTGACGCGCCTGCATCTTGGACATGTGCCGAGCCGAGACCTTTGTGACTTCAATATGAACCGTTTTGTCGCTCATGTGCTATAATTTCAAACCAATGAGATAAGTAAGAATTAAAAAGAAGGAAAGAAGAAAACAAGTTGGAATGAAGGAGACATAAAAGAAGAGTCTGCCCTCATTGATGGTAAAACAAGCCTAGTGGAAAGGCCAGGGTAGCAGAAATTATAGGGTCAGACATGGCAGACTGGTAGAGTGTATATTTGCATAGTACATATGTGAGGTATGTGTGTGTCTGTTTATATAGGAGATTATACAGGAGATGTATATATAGACTAAAAGTAGATACTACCGTATAACAATATGTGCTGTTGCTATTTATGACCTTACCTCTTAGTTTACAGTAACGTCGCTGCTCTTTTGTCTACGTTTATCAATGTGAGAGTAACTAAAGTGTGTTTGTGTGACACCCACGTGTGCTGTGTGACTGCAGCCAGTGACAGCGCGTCTTTTTGTCTCCGTCAAGCCATTGTGAATCAAGAATTTAGCCCCTCTCTAAATTTAAACCAACCCAATTACCTACCCCTCACTACCGTCTCAGTTTACACAGGCTGCCCTAATGTGATCTTCACATATTCACACAAGGTATGCATAGTTTCCCCTGAACAAGGATTCCCTGTGTTTGGGAAGAGCTGGTCAAGAGCTAACAAATTGTCACTTCACTGCATTCAAGCGGTCAAAAACATGCTCCTGTTTTCTTGTGTCTCCTGAGGTTTTCTTGTGATGCCTGTCAGATATCATCATCAAGGAATGTCAACTAATGACATAATTGAGTTTATTGTTCCATGTCTTAAACTCAACGGCACTCTGAAAAGCTCTATAAAGAAGGACAGTTTATCTGTTTTGAAGATGTCATATGTGTCTTATATAACAGGAGGATGCCCCACATATGTCAGTGTGTAAGAGCCAGTTAGAGGATTGGGTTTTCCCCTGTCAATATTTAAGGGGGGAACACCATTGTAGAGAGTGACCTATCCTATGCTGATGTCTTCCTTTCTTTTTCCTTTTGAAAAGCAGCAGAATAAGCTGAAACCCTAGTCCATTTGTATTGTCAGGACAAAGAGAGACCATTGTGGCAGGAGGGGTGGAGGGGAGCTGCCGGTGGAGGTAGGGGTGCAAGGGGTCAGGGGGGGCAGAGAGGAGTTAGTCAGAGTCTGACCCCTGCTGGGTGGAGGGTTGGGGGCGGTGGGGGTGTGCAGGTCAGGTAGTGTGTTTTTTTTCTCTCTCTCTGAATGATGAGCCTGAAGTTGCAGCAGTGTGCATTTATCCAGCTGGAAGAGGCTTCAGTAGCAGAGCAGCAGGGCGGGGGAGGTTACATTTAGGGAGGGTGAGTGACGGGGAAGCCAGCGCTCTGCGTCTCTCACGCTCCGACTGGAGTCTATTCTGCTCCAGCTGCCTAAACCACAACACACAGAGACAGAGCTGGGGAGAGAAGAGGCACGGGACCTGTTGATATCACTGCAATGACCGACAGCACTTACACAGAGGATTGTACACTGGTGGATCCTGGCGCTTGGAATTGATGTCACTTGTTTATTTATTGAAGTTTGGCACTTTGTCTGGTGCCTAAATGCTGTCACTGGGCAAAATGCACTCCAGAGCAAAGTCTCGGAGTTGTGACAACTACCTGAGTATTAAGGTACGAACTTTAAATATGTCTTCTTTGAAGTTTTACTAAGACCTTTTCAGGTTTTCATTTGGGTCTGTTTTTGTATGTTTTCACTCATCTGTGTTGGGTGCAAACCTGGCTTCAGTTGTTGACTGTGGACGATTTTTTTGTTCTTTTGACTAAACATTGAGGCAGATATCTATTTAGACATTCATAAAGTGAGAGAGGAATGTTTGTAGTTCTTAGTATATTTTCACATCCCTTCACTTTCATTTAGTGCTTATTTTTTGCCTTTGTTTTCTTGTGTGTGTCATTATAGTAACTCAGTGTGGCACAGTGTGTACATGGTTGCATTTCAGCAACATTTTGTCTACTGATGTCAGATGCCTGTTTGTAGTACTCGGTGTTCACTTTGAAGGGCATGAGAGAATTCCTCATCTATGGCCCTTCAATGTGTTCTAAACCTGTTTGATGACAAATACAAAGTGACTGGCAAATCACTATGTGGTTAAAGACAAATTAGGTGGACAGACTTTATAGGGCGCTAAACACATACATTCACTCATAAATACACCTTACTTAAAACCTTAAAAGTATTTCTTCAGAAAATGTAGACATCCACATATTTCTGCTGTGTGCCATCATTAGCAAGGGTGGGCTCTCATCTTTAAACAAAAAGAAAGAAAGTAGAAGAACGAAAACAACATTTGAACAATGTGTTATTTATCATAGCTGGGGTTAGTAAAATATAGACGTTTGTCCTTTCTGATTAGTCATTTTCCTTTATCATCCCTTTTTGTTTTGGAATGCACTCATGCTATATTTATCCTACAGAGGTATCAAGAGACTTTGTTAGGCTCCTTTGTCTCTCCTGTCACTGCTCATCACCGCTCTGATTGGTG